TTTACAGACCTGTGTATGTAAGTTGGTTCAGTTCCAATATGTTCTGCAATATTGTTTACAGTTATTGTTTACAGTTGTGCACAACTCTACCCAAAGAAAGTTTATGTTTGTTGTAAATAAGGGTGTATTTATTCTTCTGCACAATGCTGTGAAAAAATTCAAATTGTAAAGAGCAAATGCAGAAAAAATGTGAAACATACATTTTCAGTGTCTTGTACTCAGATACACTCACTCAATGCAGTGATGTCTAACTTTACTGTAGTTTTCAATTGGCTGTTCTAATAATATATAGTACTATCTTGAGCATTTTCAGGAAGTTTCACCAAAATATGACTTTTTTTGCATTGAAAAAATGTACAGAGTAAACTGACAAAATGAAAACATGACAAAGCCATTTGACTATCTTGTTCATAAACATTGGTGTCAGGACTTTTAATTTTGATAATACTGATGCTTTGATTGACATGAATACTTGCTTTTGAGGTATAAACTATCCATTTTGAGCACGTGACGCGCTTTTGCAGGTTATCAGCTAGGTTTTGCAGTTTGTACCAATTGTTTTGAGAAATGCATTAACTGTTTTGCAGAAATGTACTGGTGTTGTGAGAAACGCACCAAAGCGACTGAGAAAAACTGTAAGACCCCACCCAGAAGTTTTAGAGCTCATTTAGGTGAGGTGGCACTTAAAACTTTCTGCCTAACTGCTCTGCTCTGTTTACTGGGACTAGGTCAGCTGCTAGTCTGTTTGTGATTGCCAAATTAAGGTTCTCAGATGTATTATCTCTCCCCGATAGCTCTTCTTGTGACAGTCCCATCAGGAGGAACATTCTGTTAGTTTCTAAGGGTGCCCAATTCATAAACTCTAGTCTTTCAATTGAGGTTGTTCAGAACATACTCCTCTCTATAGCTCCCACCATGAAGAAATGATATACTACAGGATGAACATTTTTAATTTCTTAATGGAGGTGATCATCACTTCAACCAAGTTTTTCAAGGTTATTACCATTCATTCTATTCACTGAGTAATAAGTCCATAGGCAGAACCTTTTATTAAGTGGCTTCCCTTGTGGCACCTTAATGCTGAGGCCTGCTAGCTTGTTGAAAGTTCAGGTATCAGGTACCAGGTATCTAGCCACAGTCCCAAATGGTCTTTCGGTGGCTCTTTTTGAACAATTACAGTCAGTTGAATAAAAGTTTCTTACTCTCAAGTCTATCTTCTTACTCTCGAGAGAGTGAGGGACCTACATGTCCTGGAAACCAAGACCCCTTATTCTGACTATGCACTTGGTATGGTAAAAGCCTTTCAGTACCCTAGAGCAGTTATGAGAAATCTTAAGCAAATGGATAGTTGAGCCTATGTCAGTTTACTTATGAGGCCTATTGACAACAGTCACCTTTGGCTTTTAGAACACACTATACAAGGAGTTTGGCAGCTTCTGAAGCTCTTCTGTCAGGTGTGTCCTTGCAAGAAGTATGTGACCCTGGGCTACCCCATACACATTCTTATGATTTTACCAACTGGACCTGAACTCTGGAGTTCCAGGTGTTTATGTGTAACTGTGACTCCAATTCACACTAAACAGGCATTGGTTAGTACAGTGGAATGGCTTTTTTGATTTCATAAAGGAGTAGCAATTTCTGACGCAGTACAAGCTCCCTTAAAAGGGATTGTCTCTGGTTACATTTGTAAACCGTGGTTCCCTGAGAGTGAATGAGATGCCCTGACATACTACCTGCCAGCCTGTGATTGACTTACTTCAGGCCAATCAGAAGCTGACATTCTTTGGTTCTGGCATGTTTTATAGCTTCCGGGTCAACATACTTTGTTACATTGTGATGTTCAGCCACACTATTGAACTGATTTGATGCATGCTTCATGACGCAATCACACAAGGTGTTCCCATAGCATTGCAACTACCAATGCAGAATCTCATTGGCTCTCAGGGAAACGTTAGGTAACCTGAGATGTTAGGTTGTCGTTTGGTTCATTTTATGACAACAGTTCATAAATCTTTAGCATCAGCTGTTCTTCTGCCTCTTGTGCCTCCATTTCTCTCAGGAGTTTCCTCATTTTCTGTCAAGAAGTTGACAGGTTTCTGAAGCAGAGCAATTTTATTTTATTTTATGATTGTTCAGAGGAATTTACAGATTCAATGAGAGAAAAGGGACAACTAAAATAAACAAGAAAATGCCCATGAATATGCCGTCTTAAAACGTTTTATGATGTGGATGTAAAACAAAAAAAATGCCAGAAACTGCCATGCTTGTTCAATGGAGCAGGAAGGGCCCTTAATTTATGAAAGATTTGTTACATGGAAGTGTACGTTTATTCATTCACATCGTCATGGTAACGTAAGAAAAACTAGCCTTGTGGTTTAAAGACTTGAATATTGGGAGCAATGTTATATCATTTTTGATAGTTTTATATTTGTTTTAATGCTGAATGTTATTATCTGTTCAGTGAATAATGCTGTTGAAGATAGCTACTCTGTTATTAGGCTTTTCCACACATTTTATTTTAAAATTGCATCATGTAGAGTAAAAAATGTCATGTCTGTCCACATTATGGAAGCAGAGACGTGAGAAAAAGGCTTTGGGTGGAATATGCCTCCGCGAGGTAGTGTTCAAGTGTTCTAGTACTTGTTTTGACTGCTTACTTTAATATTTCCTATACACAATTGCATTGTAAAACGTGTTCAGAACTTTTATTTTATAATACAGTGGATTAAAGAGTTAATCTATCACACTTCTTTGATGTGGTACCTGATTGACCTGATTGTAACAAAGTGTACTGACAACCATTATCTTAAAATTTACAACCAAACACTTTATTTTGACTGCTACATTGTTTCTTGCTTTCATTTTTAACTTGCCTGTAACTCCAAGAAAACTAAAATTCCTTCAGATATTTGATCCCAACTAGTACTTAACAATTAAGGCTTTAACATTTAGATTACCATCTTGCTATATGCATTCAAGAGGTCTTGGGTTGAGATCTCGGACGAGTCCCCAACTACAAAAATAAGTTGTTGATGTTTCTTTTTTGACTTCTCTGTAACACCAGGGCGACGCAGTGGCGCAGTAGGTAGTGCTGTCTGCTACATTGTTTCTTTCTTTCATTTTTAACTTGCCAGTAACTCCAAGAAAACTAAAATTCCTTCAGATGTTTAATCCCAACTAGTACTTTAAATTTATGAGAAAAAAAACACTATTAGGGCTGAAACATTTAGTTTACTATCCTGCTATATGCATTCAAGAGGCCTGGGGTTGAGATCCCGGACGAGCCCCCAACTACAAAAATTAGTTGTTAATCTTTCTTCCTTTCTTTTTTAACTTATCTGTAACACCAGGGCGACGCAGTGACGCAGTAGGTAGTGTTGTCGCCTCACAGCAAGAAGGTCACTGGTTTGAGTCTCGGTGTTTCTGTGTAGAGTTTGCATGTTCTCCCTGCGTTCTCGTGGGTTTCCTCCGGGTGCTCCGGTTTCCCCCACAGTCCAAAGACATGCAGTACAGGTGAATCGAGTAGGCTAAATTTATCATAGTGTATGAGTGAAAGAGTGTATGTGGATGTTTCCCAGAGATGGGAGGCAGCTGAAAGGGCATCCGCTGCGCAAAAACGTGCTGGATAAGTTGGGGGTTCATTCCGCTGTGGCAATCCCCGATAAAGAAACTAAGCTGAAAAGATAATGAATAAATGAATGTAACACCTGGAAAACTAAAATTCATTCAGATGTTTGATCCCAATTAGTAATTTAAATTTACTACAAAAAACACTGTTATGGCTGCTACATTTAGTTTACTATCTTGCTATGTGCATTCAAGAGGCCTTGGGTTAAGATCCCGGACGAGCCCCCAACTACAAAAATAAGTTGTTGACATTTCTTTTTTCTTTTTTGACTTACCTGTCTCTCCAAGAAAACAAAAATTTCATCTGATGTTTGACCCCAACTAGTACTTTAAATTTATGAGAAACAAAACACTATTATGGCTGCAACATTTAGATGACCATCTTACTATATGCATTCAAAAGGACTTAGATTGAGATTCCGGACAAGCCCCCAACTACCAACATAAGTTGTTGGCATTTCTTTTTTTCATTTTTAATTTATCTGTAACAACAAGAAAACTAAAATTCATTCAGATGTTTGATCTCAACTAGAACTTTAATTTATGAAAAACCAAAAAAACCCTATAATGGCTGCACATTTAGTTTACTGTCCTGCTATATGCATCCAAGAGGCCTTTGGTTGAGATCCTAGAAGAGCCCGCGATTTTTATTACTGTGATAACGATAATACTAAAGGAAGCAAGGATTTCTATTGAAGTTACAACTTACAACGAGTACCTTAAATATTAAGAGTAAGCATTTTATTTTCTATTTTTCATATTGTATTGTTTTATATACAAGAGACCTAGAGTTGTGAACCTGTATGAACTCCCTATTTATTTTCTTGTGAACATGTATGGAGCCAAAACCCCTTCAAGAGTAAGTATACAATTAATAATCTTTTTCGAAACCAGTATCTGTATCCGTGTATCCTTAAATTCAAGGTTTATTTTGTTGCATCCAGTTAGTGCTGTTTTGTGCCACATGGCATAAAGATATGGCTGCTACTTGTGTAAACATGATGTTCAGGCATTTAAAAAAACAGTTGTAACTTCAAACCTAACCTGTAATTATTGCGATACAAACGAAATATCATTAGACAGTACACATTCGTATTGACAAGACATTTTTTGCATGATTTTCATGCAAAACCCAAACATCCTTTATGCAAAGTTTCATCAAAATATATTTATTTTATTATTTTGCAGGGTGAACAAGACAGTTAGAAGCCACAACAGCTATTTAAGAATTAAAGAATAACACGAGGATCAGATTTACAAAGCCATGCTTGATCTTCAGTGCTGTGAAAATGATCTGACAATGAGAGCTGTCTGTAGTGAAAAGTAAGTGCTGAATGCTGTATTAATCTGCAAGTACACAAACGAGTGAAATATGGAACTTACTAATTTATTGAACTTTAATCCAGTCTTTCAGTAACTTAGCATCATAGCCATTGCTTCTCTTTACTTATCGTCTTGTAACATCCCAGAATTTATACCCCACCCCAAACTAAATTCCTCACTGTGCTATTAGAATATCACCACACAGTAACCTAGATTTACTAATGTAAAAGTTTAAGGCATAAACGTTCTGAAGATATACATAAAAACATAGTTGATGGCTCATGGACAAAGTCAACAGACACAGGAGTGTGGAAGATCAGTAATCTCTACAGTCACATCATGAGGGAGATAACAGGCACCTGACCTCATATCTGTGCTTTTAGACAACGACGGCACAAACACTTTTACTCCATTCAGCATCAGGACTCAGTGAGCAAACTTCTCGCGATGATCATCCTCATCACTTCATTTGTTCCTAATTAAAAGACAATACATTATGGTAAATAAAAAGAAATGCAACTTACCAAATCCAGAAGACAACTATAATAAAATTGTTTTACTATATTAATATGCAGTCATGATGTTTTAACATGGATTTATTCAATATTAATTATTGTAAATATTACATGCATATTATTAGACATTACAGCAGTCATACAGTATATTTCGGGGTGTGTGTGTGTGTGCGTGTGTGTGTGTGTGTGCGTGTGTGTGTATGTGTGTGTTTGTAAACAAACAAACAAACAAACAAACTAACAAACAAACAAACATTCATTACCCTCCAATATCTGATGTACTCTAATGTCTCTGACGTACTGCTGCACTGCATAGTCCTTAAGGTATCCATAACCTCCATGAATCTGTAAAGCCTGGTTACATATCTGAAAGAGAGAAAAAAAAAACTTAAAGTACTGTTCAAAAATGATCACTTATACTATAAAAAAATTATATTATGAAATATTATTGGATTAAATTTTTTTATTTACTTATAATACATTTAAAAACTTATTTTAAAATGTATTCCTGTGATAGTATAAAAGCTGAATTTGTAGCATCGTTCATCAGAAATCATTTTAATACGCTGGTTTGGTGCCCAAGATATATTATCTTTCTAAAACTATGTATGTATATAATTTTATTTATTGTTTCTTTAAGAAAGGAAACAGAAATTAATTTATACTTTCATTCAAAAAAACTTCGAGATCAACTTCATGTTCTAATATTCAAGAAATCTCTACTCTTGCTTGTGTGACATTTGTTAAATATGTTAGAAACACACAGTGGGTGCGAAAAGTATTCAGACCCCCTTAAACTCGTCATTCTTTGTTATATTGTAACCATTTGCTAAAATCATTCAATTATTTTTTTGCTCAATGTACACACAGCACTCCATAATGACAGAAAAACACAGAATTGTTAACGTTTTTGCGATATAAATAAATATTTCTGGTGTAACGGATCACAAATTTCACGGTTTGGTTCACATAATGTTTTTTTTTTAAGTCACGGATCGGACCATTTGCTTTCCCTTTATTACAAAAACCGCACTGCAGGACAATTTTGGTTTTAACAAACAGAACTTAGAAGCTGTAATTTAAAAAAATAAAAATAAAGAAATAATCAGCTGAATAAAAATAAGTTGTAAAACATTCAGTCCAATGAAAAATTCACTGTTACTACTACTGTTGCTTTGAACACTAAATGCACAAATCTAACATTATCATTTGTACAAATCATATTTATTTTTAGTCTCGTTTTTAATTAGTGATTCAGTTATTCACTTGTAAAACGTCATGTTTCATTGCTAGATGTGTCAACTTTGAAGAATTATTCAGTTGCATATTTTTGATGGCTGGTTGTCGCCACCTATTGGTTACATAGTCTAATTGCTTTCCACAACTTTCATTTTTGAGCATATGATGATGATTTTAATCTTTACCATAAACATCAGTGGATTTTTCCAGATTATAAACTGTTATCCCAGTACTTCTGTGTTATTTGACTGTTTGTAATAGAACTCAAAAGACTAAAGATTGAATCTCTTTCTTGATTTTTGCGTTTTTCAAACACAGATTTAAATGCAGCGATTTGAAGGATTAATAAACATATGCAGATCACCATTATTTATAATTTATGTTGTGTGGGAGTCGAGATCCCGATCTTTTAATGATTGATCGTGCAGTTTACACTGAATGCATTGATGCAGGCTTAACTAGTGACAGAAAACACTTTTAATAACCTAAGAAACCCACCACATCCCAAATAACCTACTTCTTCTGTCATCATTGTGTTTTACAAGAAATCCTAAATGCTTTCAAACATGTGATTTGAATGACGTGAGAGGCGATTGAATTATAGTCACTCTAATTTGCATTCTAATACACTTGAAGTCCGAGAGAGTGCCATACAAAATAACGCCAGCATACACAACTTCTGAACAGTCGTATATTTATGCATTTATGCTACAACATCACAAATCACCCAGATAAAATGTCACAGGAGGGATAGGTGAGTGAGTGTGTGAGTGTGTGTGTGTGTGTGTACTTACTGAAAAACATTCATCTGTCACAAAGAGCTTGGCCATTGAGCAGAGCGAGACGGCGTCCGGTCGCCCATCCTGCAGAGCCAAGGCCGCTTGACGCACAAGCAAACGAGACGCAACCAGTTTAGTGGCCATTTCAGCCAGCTTAAACTGCAGGAACTAAACACACACACACACACACACAGGTTTGTTATTTCAAAATGCAGACCAAAAATAACGGCATAATATGTACTGTAATTCTCACCACTAGAGGGCACATATTCACAACAAACAAATGTGTAGTTTGATAATTGATTCTCTCCCAAAAATGACAATCCTGGACATTGTTTACTCACCACTTTTTCCAAACCTAACTGAGTTTCTTTCTTTTGTTGAACACAAATGATGATATTTGAAGGAATGTTTGAAACCTGAAGCCATTAACTTAAATGGTAATTTTTACCTACTATGGCTGCTTTTTTTCTCCAACATTCTTCAAAATATCTACTTTATGTTTCATAGTCGCAAGAAATTCTAGGTTTAGAATAGGCATAGGCCGGGATAAGATTCTGAAAGTATGATAACCTTGGATAAAAATTATCCCTGTTTCACGGTATTGTGATCACTGCTCTAAAATATTTTCTTTTTAAACTCAGAGTAAAAAAAAAAAAAACTTTTTCCCCTTTTGAACACAATAAATTTTATTTTGAGAAACATTATTTTGGAGCAGTAAACATGTCAGGCTTAAAGAATTATTGACTTTTGCTCTCTTCATTTGTTTCAAAAACAGATTTTTTACTATTTAAACCGTAACTATTCAAAGATACTGTTGTCCTTAAAAAAAAAAGAAAGGAAAAGAAAAACGTAAAAAAAATAAAAAGAAATCATACTCACACCTCAGGAACAGTTTTGCTGAAAATTTGAGTTTTAAAACCTTATAAAGTGTATTTAATGACACATTACATTAAAACCTTGATTTTTCTAAACCGCAGCATACCTTAAAAATGGTTAACTTCCCATGCCTAGTTTAGAACCACTTGAGGGTGTGTTAATGCTGACAGAATGTTCATTTTTGGGTAAACTAAGCCTTAAATTGTCAATCCATTTAGATTTAATGCAAAGAACTGAAATTGAGTAATGTTTAATAAAACGTGTAAACATAAACATTTAAATGTGACCTAGACATGTACCTGACTGTTCGCTAGTGTTTCTCCAAACTGTTTCCGCACACACATGTGATCTCGAGCTAGAAGCACAGATGCATGAGCTGCTCCAAGAGAACAAGATGCTGTGACACAAGAAAAAAAAAAAGGGTTCACAAAAATGTACAATTCTGTTATCATTTACTCCGTTCCAAAACCTGTACAAGTTCTTCCGATGAACACTAAAGAAAACATTTAGAAGAATGTTAGAAAGTGTTTTTTCCCCAATTGTGGATGTCAATGGTTACCAGTTTTCCAACATTCTTTAAAATATCAGTTTTTTAAGTTCCACAGATAAAAAAAAAAAAAAAAAACACACCAGCAACCACCAGAGGAAAATGTAATTTCTGCATGAACTGACTCTTTCAAATTAATCACAGACAAAGGCTTTCAATAAACAGGTTATTAAATCAAAGTTACAAAACTATTCACCAATATTGATTCTGCCTCCATTTAGGCCTTTCATGGCGATGCTAAAGCCCTGCCCCTCCGTCCCGAGCCGATTGGTCACAGGGACAGCACAGTCCTCAAATATCACGGCTCTGGTTGGCTGAGAGTTCCATCCTACCTGTAGAATTCAAATCAGAACGTAAAGCACGTCAGAGACAAAATAACTCAATCATGCCACCTGCTGGACACTCTGTAGCATTGTCTGACAGTCGTTCTAAAAAAATCCTACAGGCAGGGAAGGTGATTAGGTTCAACTTAATTTGGTGCTTTTGTTATTGTTAGCAAGTTAATGTAGTCAGCAAGTATTTATGTGTACATAAAATTGAAGTCAAAATTATTAGTCCCCCTGTGAAGTTTAATTTCATTTTAAATGTTTCCCAAATGATGTTTAACATAGAAAGTAATTTTTCACAGTATTTACTAGAATATTTTTTTCTTCTGGAGAAAGTGTTTGTTTCATTTCGGCTAGAATAAAAGCATGTTTTTAACTTTTTATATCACATTTTAAGGTCAATATTATTATTATATTATATTATATATTATAGAAATGTGTTGAAGATAATAATTCAGGAGGGCTAATAATTCTGACTTCAACAGTATGTCCTATACTAGCACATGCTGATCACATAGACAGGATATGTCATCAGATATTTTCATGTTAGTCTGAACTTTATTTTAAAAATGATGCCAGAAGTCAGAAGTCTTGCAAAATATAACACTGAAGGATCACGGCTGTGTTGGAAGTACATTCTATTGTATTGTATATATTATATAAACATTACTGAAAACATATTAATATACATGTTAAAATGTAAAACATGAAGCCAATTACAGCAGAAATTTAAACTCCCTCAGAATAATTTTTTCAGATTTTTACAGATAAGGAACTACATACAAGCCCATACGTCTTCATTGGATAGTACATCCCCTTCCATCCTTGACAAATGCCTAGATTGGTGTAAAGGTAGTAAAAAAACCATTATCAATAATTTATGAACAACTACTATCTGTTACTTCCCCCTCCACAAAATGTTTTAAGGAAGAGTGGGAGAAAGAATTGGGAGTGGAAATTTCAGAAGAAATGTGGCAATCAGGTTTGGAGGATATTAATAAACAATCTATTAATTCTAGACATTGTCTTATTCAATTTAAAATAATTCATAGGTTACATTATTCAAAGAAGAAATTACATAGAATTTTCCAAAATATTTCACCTCTTTGTGACAAATGTAATTCATCAGATGCGGATCTATCTCACAGTTTTATTTTTTGTTCTAAGATACAGAATTATTGGAATGAAATTTTTGATGTGCTTTCCGAAGTGTTGAAGTTGCAATTACAACCAGATCCAATGCTTGTAATTCTGGGATTCTCTGAACAAACACATTTGTTGTCAAATACACAACATAAAATGCTCTCATACTGCTTAACTACTGCCAAGAAGCTACTGCTACTATTTTGGGAAAAAAAAGGAATCCCCTACATGTAAACTGTGGCTTGGAGAAATTGCTTCTATGTTACATTTGGAGCGAATTAGATACTATTTGAAAAGAAAACTGGAACAATTTGACAAAATTTGGAATCCCTTTATCTGTTACCTTGAAAAAAACCTCTCATAATAATGCATCATTTCTGTAATGTTTTAACATGCTTTGTCATCATACTCTGTTTTTCAAACAGGTCTTTATAACAAGTTTGCTTGTTATGTGGGTGGGTGATTTTTATTTTTATTTTATTTATTTAATTTTTAATTTTCTCCTTTTAATTTTCCTTATTTGCTGTGCCTATGTTATATGTGGACAAAATATGTAAACAGAATTAATCTTGTCTTGAATCTGTCTTCATCAATAAAACTTATTTGACAAAAAAAAAAAAAGTAAAACATGTTAAAACACATTTTAATCAAACAACTTTTTTGTTTTTATAAAATGTATTTACATGAAAACAGCAAATGTTAAATTGATTTGATTTTTATTTACGTTCATTTAAAGTAACTTCAAGTATAACTGATTTCTCTCATAACCATAATCTGACATTATAATAACAAAAAGATACAAACAAAATTTTTAAAGAGAATTTTCCAATGTAATTGAATTAAGTCTTATTAATCTGTTATGTATTGTTTTAGTTAACTTGTTGTTTTAATTTTTTTAATAGTTGTTTTAATGTTTAATATGTTTATTGCTTTGTTTATTTTTATTATGCAAGAAAGAACATTACAAAGATACAACATGAACAAAGAGACAAATAGGTTACACAAATACAATTCCAGCAAATTAAACAAGTTTAAATGATTTACACCAAAAATGAGTTTTACATACAAAATCATTTCTTTTAAAATTAGTCTTTTAAAGAGTTCACCAATAAAACAAAATTCTGAAAATAAAAAAGTAAGGGTGTTTCTTTGAAAATGTACATTTATGGATGTAAAATTTAGCTGTCATCAGAATGTTCCGACTATAGTTGAGAAACTATGACGACATCTTGTAGGCTAATCGGCTGCTAGCATAAAAACTTGTTCCCTCGATTAAATCCCTATTGGATTTTCCCATAGGTTTTTCGAAGATTGCAAATAATAGGCTCTGTGTTCAAACACTGTTCATTACACTTACACGTTTAGTCCAGCCGGATAATCCTCACACGAAAATACAACTTTTGGCACTTTTGCATTTTAAAAGCAAACACAAGAATTGAAAAGCTAACATTAGGCTATAAACGAACTACAGCGCCTTCGAGGCGCTTGTCTGTGACGTCAGTGTCACCCTGCTACAGACAACTTTTCAAGCTTATTTTTAGAAATTGGTCCATGACAAAGAGTTAATCTCTCGGTTTATTATATTATAATCCACACTTTATATTACAAAAAAATAAATACACAAAAACACATATGTATAGACCTGCGTGCCTTTTGCATAGATTTTTACATGGGAAATACATTTTGCTTTGCTTTACGGTTGTTGTAAAAGTTTAAATGTGCCTACATAGTACTATCATAAGACATATTTAAATAGATGTATTGCTCGCGTACACACAGCTCACTTATAGTAACACACGACAGAATTAAGGCGTGAGGAACAAGTCTTTATGCATGCAAGTTCCATCATGGACATAGAACAACATTAAAAATTCATTTTTTTTTATCACGAAGTACAGCGAAAAGCAGCCCATACAGTCACATATGCTGTACATTTTAAGTAGTGTAAAAATTGTTGTTTACTTTTGCAGTTTACCATATTGATAGATAAATGTGTTCAGATGAAAAACAACAAAAAAAAAAAACGCTGAAAAATCAGTTGATCATGTTAAAATGACAGTTAATATGTGTGTATTTTTAAATTTATTTACACATTTGCATTACTGAGAGCAGGAAAGAGACAGACTGCACTGGTAAGCAGTCTCCCCATAATATCATTTAATTAAAATAAATGATCAACAAATTAATCTTTACAGTCTCTGGAAGTGAAGGCATTATCTACACACAATATGAATTCCCAATTAGAAAAATACTACAAACTATAAAATACTACTTATGAAAATACTTAAATCAGACAAATCCAAATGCCCAACACAAAGCGAGCTACATTCCAGAACAGATCAGCTTGATGACCTATAATGTCTCCAACGTTGCCTGTAGTCCCATTTAGCAACTTGACAGCAACCGTCTTTTCAAAGAAGCGTAACAGATTTTTAAAAAATCAAGATTGAGATGTATGTGATGCATTTTATTTCATAGATTAAAACGTGAAAGTATCTTAAAATTGTGTTAGCCACAAACCTTAATAAAGCGATTTAACCAAAATCCCCCCCCAAAAAAACCATTGACTTTGGGACGAGGGGACCGGAACTGCTAAAATGCTTACTCGCTTCCGGGGTTTTGCATACAAATTGATGTCATAGTTCCTCTATGCAGTCTGACTTGTTAATTAATTCTACTGTAACATTATGCATTTTCACTGTATTTGTTTTCTCAATTGTGAATGAGACATGAGGTAATCTGACTGTCTCTTGTATTTTGGTTTAAGCCTCAGTTTATGTGTTTTGGAGGAAACGTGGCTTTGTGATTATCCAGGAAGAACAGGACCTTTGGCTCTCAAACTTGCATGCAATTGCTAGAATTTTAATGTTAATACTGTAGATGCTGACTACCTTCTTCTCTTTTTTGCCAAAGCTGAGTCCAGGAGTTCCTTTCTCAACCACCAGACAGGAGATTCCCTTTGGCCCCTTCCCTCCTGTCCTGCACATCACCACATAAACATCTGTGTCTCCGCCTCCACTGATGAACGCCTGATGGGAAACAGTGAAAACTGCTGGGAGGCTGCATGCTGCATGCATTGTCTATGTCTCAATCATGTCTTTATGTACCTTGGAGCCGTTCAGAATATAATGGTCTCCTTTGAGCGTTGCGCTGGTTAGAAGTGAAGCAGCATCACTACCACTACCTGAGGGTAATGAATACAGCAAAACATTCCTTTTTAACATTAAAATACCTTATTTTACTATAGTAAAAATTATATATATATATACATTATTTCATGCAATATCGCTAAACCAAACGCTGGTGCTTCCTGATAACGCTACAGTATATACATTTTAAAATCGAAGTTAAAAACACATCTATATAAACAATATCACATGAGTAGCAAAGTGATATGGCTGTATAATGGCACTGGTGGAATGCATGTGATGCCTTAGTGACAATATACAGCCATATTGCACTGCTAAGAGTGACCGCAACATCGGGTATATAAAAAAGAAAATCAAACACGCGAGTCTAAAAACCCTTTTGTATGTGGAACTACTTTCTTCCACTATTCATTCACATCTGCAGCTGACGTCAGAAAAGCAGAAACTGTTGCACATACACCAACATCCCTTTAGAGCTAGTATTTGAATGATTTTCTAGCGTAATGTCTAAAGTGATAACAAAACAGGTGATTTTGCTGACATTTTAAGATTATGAGGCTGAACGGCATGAAATGCCATCTGTCTACAGAGATTTCTTAGTATTTGTCTGTTGCAATCGAGAGATCACAATAATTAACCCCGAAAAAGACAAAGCATTGCAAACACAACCAGATTACTATTGTGCTTGCGATACAACACTAAAACAATAAACACATGCGGGCATTTCTTCTTTCTTTCTTTTTTTTCCTGAACTAGTCTGCAGTAACGAAAACAGGAGATTTCATTAGAAACAGATGGTCAACCAGAAGGTAAATCAGGGTTATACAAAGATCTCACACTCAATACACTACAATTATATTGACTTAGAATGTCACTTACCTGTTTAGTAATGATTTGATCAGCTGTAGTTAGAAATTATTCTGTTTTTCTCTTCTAATCGCTTATTATGCGGTCTCTGTCACCATATTGTGAATAAACATCTAACGCCTTTGCTCAAAGACAGGCTAATGCCGACGCGATGTCACTCAGAATTTATAAATATTTTAAAATAGGCACTATCTTTATAAATAAACTGCACAGTTGCAATCTAAACAACTACATTTTCCACAAAAAGAAAACCCAAAAGTACATTATGTTGTCCAACAGCTGCAAAATTTGTCAAACTGTAGTGTGTCCTCTGCTTGTTGCTGTATGTGGGCGGAGTAATACACAAGGGTACCGCCTGATTCACACAGGGCTTCAGCATCAATGATTGACAGAGGGCGTGTCTAAAGTTGGGGCTTGCGCCATCATCATGGCAGCGTCAGCCATCGAAATTAATTAGCAATCAGCTACTGTCTGAGCTGGTGTATTTGCATACAGCGATCTGATTGGCTGATGCTTTTGTTGGTGCTTGAAAAGTTGAGAAAGTCCCAACTTCTGCAGCAAGCAACGCCACTGAAGCATCACTGACAGATCCACAATGCAGTTCGGCAACGCCTGACGTCACCCATTCAAGGTGAATGGGAAGCATTGATGGTGACATAGGGCGTAAAGTGGGGAAAGGCTAGATGAGTGCTGCTATTTGCAGAATATCACATAACTATAAGCCAATCAGATTCAAGAACTAGACATAACTGTTTGTATGTATTGTATGCATAAATACAGATATACAACACACACACACATGCGCTTTTAATTGCAAATAATTGTATGAGGATTTTTGCATTTATTTATTTCCCCCTCCTTTCTGTTTTTTTATAACCTTTGAACAGCACGGCCAACTAAAGTTGAATTAAATGTGCTCAATAAAGGAAGCTGAAGTTGATCTAAAAAGAGCATGCTGGCATATTGAAGATTATCCGGCATATTACCTTTTTCTTTTGGTGAAGTTTTGTACTTAAATTATAATTTTTTTAATCTGTAAAATAAAAAATAAAATAACAATAAAAAGGAGTTATAACATAAAGTGTAACATAAATATATGCAAATAAAAATAATAATAAAATAAAAAGATAAACATGAAGCTTTGAACGTTGTACTCAAAGATGTAAAGTGACACTTACAGTAAAACTGCAGTAGTAGTGTTAAAAATGTAGTTTCGACACCACAGGAAAAAAAAAAACTACATTTATTAAAATACTTTCAAATAGAAAACAGTTTTGGATTGAAGGAATATTTGCTTCTATATTACTTACAGTCAATTTTATTATACTTAACTATTGTTCATTTTTGTATCATTTTACTTTGAAATGTGCAGTTAACAGTTTGAGTTAACAGTGACACTGAAATATCCCACACAGGAACACAAAAAAATGGGATCCTGAACTCACCAGGTTCTGTGAGACAGTAGGAGGCAAACTTCTGCATAGAGCAGAGATCAGGACAGAACCTCTCCCTCTGCTCGTTGTTTCCGAATGTGTCAATCATCCAGGCACACATACTGTGACAACACAATCAATAATTACTTTGCAAAATACAAAGAACCATAAATGAAATGAAATGAGTTTACAAGCATGTGCCCCATAGGTAATCCATATAAATTACAACACAATGAAGACTATCTAAATATTCTTAAACCAAAAATCATTTTTTAAGCAAAACTTAAGGTCATGATTTAAGAAATAATATGCCAAAATTAAGTGAGTTTTTAATCTTATCTTAAATTGAAAACTTAAATGTATAAATTATGAGGGGACTCACTTGTGAATACTGACGTAAGCAGTCGTGCTGACACAACCTGTGGATAAAGCCTCAAATATGATAGAAGTGTCCAGACGAGACAGTCCAGACCCCCCGACATCAGGGTTCACGTAAATCCCACCAAAGCCCAGCTCGGCGGCTTTCCTCATGGCCTCCACAGGGAAGATTTCCTGCAAATATTATTATTATTAGCATTTGCATTTCCAAAACAGTTTAGGTCAAACTTAATTCGATAATAATCTGTCACAGGACCAACATACTTTCCTGCAAATATGAAGTGACTGAATGTACAGAACTTATTTCAGTGGTAGAAGCTGTGGGAATGCTATATAATAACAATAATCTTTCAGATGTTCAGGTTACCTTTTGGTCCCATTCTGCCATATGTGGTGCCATTTCATTGGCAGCAAAGTCAAATGCCACCTTCTGAAACTCTTTCTGTTCATCTGTAAGTCCTATAGAGGCTGTGGGAATAAATTGAGTATTTATATTAGTGGTTTATGTACTGGAAGCATCTGTTGAGGTGACAAATGAAAGATGAACCACAAGAAGATGACAAAAAAAAAACAAAAAAAAAAACTGTCTGATCAGAGCCAATCGACTGTGCGCCATACACACCCCCAAATATGATTGGCGGAGCTTGTTAACAGACAACCAATGGCGTTTGAGGAACCACGAACTTCAACTTTGTTACAGAAATTATGAATTTTTATAAATATTTGTTATCAATTTTGTACAAAGTAATGTACAATTTCATCAACTCTGAAACTCCAAAAAGGCACAGCTGACGTTCGATTAACAACAACTTAACTTAACAACAACTCTGTTTACTAAGGAGAAATGTATAATAAAAATTTTAATATGCAAGCCCAGTAAAATTAGATTTAGGACACTCTTTAAAAAAAATAAAACTTCCTATTTTTAAATCAGTAGGAACAAAATTTTAACCTGTATCTCTACAAACATTAGATCAAAAAAAAAAAAAAAAAAAACAGACCTAAATTTGACATTAGTATCGAATATGACATTAAATATATAGCATAACGTTAGTTATTAAAACAATATTATCTGACGCACATATCCAATCTAGCAGCCCTAAATGACTGACTGTCCTCATCTCTCAACAAATTGCTATGATTATCAGAGGCTTTCAAAAATTTGACTTACGATCAATGCAAGCTGCTATTCCTCGTCTATGCAAACTGTTAAATATTAAACTGCGTGGTCTGCCGATACTATTTGATCCCAATCGGACACCTCTTATGAGTGCCCTAGCCGCCATGTTGATTATGTGACGCGATGACTAACCACGGGGCTTGTAGGTAATGTAGTTCAAATACAGACTTGATTTGTAGTTCATCTTAAACAAGCCGGTATATGGCAAGCCGTTTTAACACTTTAACAAGCGCCCCTGGTTTATTTTACCTCAGTATTTTCAATAGAATTTCTGCGCTCACCTGCTGATTCTGACGGGGCTAGCAGTTACACAGTCTTTCATATCATTTTACGCTTAAACAACTAATGAATGTCTTAAGTCTATTTAACTGAATGTATTGTTACATTACACCAGATACTGTAAAAGGAACCTTATTAAATAAAAAATAGTCACATTAACCAGAAGTTTATCATTGGCTGAAATACACTAGCTGTAAATAGAGCCCATTACATTTCAAATTCAGTAGTTTTATAACAGGAACTGAATCTCAACTAGTAAGAAAAGTAATTCTTAATAATTGTATTTTCACTAGTTAAAAGTCACTCCCATTTTACATATCAGAAATACAATTATAAAGTTTTTTTTATTGTTAATCTAGTTCAAATGTCTGTTCTTAAAATCTACTATTGACATGATTTTAGTAGCAGTGTAAATAAGTGATATCAATAATTGATACTAGTTTAAAAGTAGATGGCTGATATCTGTAAATATTTTTCAACATAGCCTATTAGATACACAATAGCAAAAATGGACACAATGAAATTAATCTTTTTTTATCAAAAATAAAAAGAAATGACTAGCTTTTCCATGGTTGATTGAATGGCTAAAATTTAATTAATGTTATCAACAATTTAATTATCAACAACTGAATTTAAGTTATTAACAATTATTTTGATATAAACAATTACAATTTTGACATCAGCAATTACATTTGGACAAGAAAAAAAAATTGGTTGATCAATATTAATTTTGAATGACTTTTAAGTTGTGAAAATACAATTGAAATTGTTGTCATACAAATAACACAGTTCTAATGCAAATACCTTGTGGTTAGTTTAACTAAGCGAGGTTATTTCATATGGGAAGCAGTACTACAAGAAGACACACTTCCTTATGGAAATAAAAGATCTTTCATTGTTTGGAAGGTATAAACTTGTTTATTTTTTTATTAGGAAGTACCATAAGAAATAAGTACTTGTATCAAGTTATTTTTTAAAAGCATGAAAATAGATAAGCTACTGTTGTTTCAGAAGCTAAAGGTTAAATCGGCTTGCCATAACAGGTGACCACGTGGGTCATCGAAAAAGTTTTTTAGTACATGAAGATATTACAAGTTGCAATCCATTTCAACAGAGGTCTTTTAATGTTCACATTGTGTATACCCCACATTCCGTGGATGAGCTTAAAATAAAAGCGGACTAAATCCAGTTCTGATTCTCCAGACCGCATGTCATCTTCCAGGGCGCTGTTTGATCACGAGTGCCGCACGGTCTGCTAGTGAAAAATGCCACCCAGGAAAACACGAAGCAGCGCCAAATCTAATAAACACTGTAAGTAATCGGCATAATGTAAAGGCTGCATCGTTTTATATGTCTACTGAAGAAAAGTTTCGTTAACCCTTAAAGACCGAGACAGCCGCCCGCGGCTAAAAATAAGTATTGCTCTTAAATGTTTAATAACTTTTGATCCGCTGATCCGATTCATACAATTCAAAGATTGGCATAAAGAAGAGAATCTTAGCTTTCCAGTGCTGTATCACATAACATTCGCGGACTTTCAGAGGCTCCGGAATCAGTGCGGTTACGTCATCAAAATTTGACAACGCTGATTTGACAAAGAAACGCTCGTCACTAAGTCTCCGGACAAACCAGACATCATACATTGATGCATTGTCCCTCCTCCATGCCCAGATTGGTTCAAACTCGCTATATCACAACCAATAAGCATAGGTTTCGCTTTTGTTTGTGGATCAACAAGCTTTTTGAACAACACGGAATGAGAGATAGGCATACATTTATGCGCGGCTAAATAAAACGCAAAAAAAACATGTTTTGCATGAAATAATTTTCATACTAAGTACTTTTGCATGCACAGCAGCACAGAAACATGACAAAACAGTGACACAGCAAAGACGAACTGCTGCTCTTGCTGTTTTCAAAAGACGCAAATGAAGATGCAGCTGTTTGCATTGCAGACAACCATATCCAAATCCATATTCACAGACAACCATATCCATGCTGGCACATAAAACCTAAGGATGTTCCACATTGAATCTAGTTTAGTTATGTAACTATTTATAGTACAGTAAATATTTATATCTATTTTTTTACTGAGGATTTGCACCATGTTTATTTGGACTTTGACACATTATTTATTATTTTCTTATTTTTTTATTTGTTCATTGTAAGTGGTGTTGTTTATAGTAACTGAAAATATATTATTTGGAAAAAGTCAAATTTGCTTCACTGTTCTATTATTTTGTAACATTTTTTTTTCTGTTTAGTTCATTCCCAGAACTTTTGGGCAAATACATTGTCAGTAAATAAATGCATTTTTTTCCCCATCGAAAAACGCCTTGGAATAACATTGAAATAAATTGCTATAACTTGCTCAGGGAATTGTGGATGTAGACAAAATTTATTTTGGAAGTATAAAACATCATAGCATGTATTTCTAAAGAAAGAAAAACAAACTTCATAAGGTTTTGTTTGAAATAACTGGAAAATGCCACTTTTTTTAAAAATCGTTTCTGGAAAATTCTGGAATATTTTCTGTCTTTTCATATGTTTTTGGACCAAAAAATATTTTAGACTGGACCTTTAAATGGTACAGATTGAAACTTCAGGTTCTCCTGTTTAAAATGATATATGACACTTGAGGCTGACTGCTAAAATAAAAATAAAACTGCTTTTTAAAAAAATAATAATATAGGCCCATTAGGTGCCCACAAAATACCTCTAGGTCTTTAAGGGTTAAATAATGGTTTGTTATTTTAGCTGATGCAGACGCCCATCTCAATGAGGGGTCTGATGATGTTGCACAACGCAAAACTGGCAAAAGAAAAAGGTCAGCAGCTGTAAAAGGTGATGTGGAGAATAAGAATGATGACGCCTGCAAACCATCTTACAGCCGCTGGCTGATGAAGTCTGAACCTGAGAGCCGGATTGAAAATGGAGTGGATGTGAAGGTATTTTAAAGTATTTAACTGTTTAATTTTATCTGCATGAAGAGTCTAGCAATACTATATTATAGAGAACTACATAATAAATATATTGAATAGAAAACACAAGAAAAAACATCCTTTAGTACACACTAAAAAATCAGTCTTGAAATAAAGTGTATAACAAAACATGATCTCATGTCTCCAAATGCAGTTTGGAATTGAAGACCTCAAAGCTCTTCCCAATCAGACGGGATGCTGGGATGGAGTGAGGAATTATCAGGTGAACTTTGACTGATACTATATTTATCAAAATATTTTTTCACATTTTCACGTAATTAAAGCTTTTATTAAGTTGAAAAATCTTCCCCTCAGGCCCGAAATTTCATGAGAGAAATGAAAGTAGGCCAGCAGGCCTTCTTTTACCACAGTAACTGCAAAGAGCCAGGCATCGCTGGCCTCATGAAGGTGAGGAGTCAATATACTGAGCGCTTAAGAAGCAGATAATGAGAATCAGTTTATGAATCATTTTTACAGATTGTTAAAGAGGCTTATGTGGACCATACACAGTTTGACAAGAAAGATGTACATTATGACCCCTCTAGCAAAGCAGATAACCCTAAATGGCATATGGTATGAGTTTACACATATTAATAGAGGTATTATTTGCATTTTGGGAATCAGAAGTGACCAGAGATGAACTGTGTACAGGTGGATGTTCAGTTTGAACGGATGGTCAAGCGCTTTATTCCTCTCGCTGAGCTGAAGAAATATCACCTGGAACACAGAGTGAAGGGCGGCCCACTCAAAGACATGTCCCTTTTCACCAGAGCCAGACTGTCTGTTCAGCCCCTTACTGCAGGTTATTCACATTAATACACATTTGAGGATTATGTATGTCTGTGTGTGTCTGTGTGTGTGTGTGTGTGTGTATAATTGTAAAAATAAACCAAGAAATATAATCTTATTTTTATTTATTTTTGTATGAAATATGTATACATTTGTTTAAATTGATCATTTATTATCAGAATATTTATTAAAGACATATGAATTATTAAATGCAGTTATTTTGCTTAAAGAAAATTCATAATTGTTTTAAAATAAACATGATTTTTAATTATTTTAATTTAAGCAAACACAAACTGCATGTAGTACTATATGTAAGTATATACACACACATAATCTGCGATTTTTGTTTCATTTTCAGAGGAGTTCGAGTTTGTCCTGAGTTTGGAGAATGAAGATCCAATATGAAGATGGTCATGAAAGTCTGTTTCATCCCATTCTCTAATGATTATTTCCCATTTTCTGTTTTCTAGTCGGTTATTTTGTAACCAATATACGTGCTGCTCCTCAAGTAGCCAATGAGTATTGTACATTTGAAATATTACTGCTAATAAAATGTTAGAAAAACACTCAATAATACCAGAATTTTTCACAATCTTGAAAAGTACGTTATATTATCGTATAGCTTTTTGTAAAAAAAGAAATAATCTTGGATGCAGAGGTTAGTAAATTTTATTACAATAGGGCTGATTAAATAGAAGCCTTTTGCAGAAGTTTTCACGGTTGCATGGCAGTTAATAGTCATTCCTCATCACCTGAACAGCTAATAAAGAAATATTTAGTATAATACAATGATACACACATGTAAGAATGGAAAATTTACCTTAAAAATGAGTAGCAATCAATCATAATTTTTTTTTCTACGACAGCATGTGTAAATTTGAGAATACTGGAACTGCTGTCGATATTGACGATTCTGTTGATTGTTTCTAACAGGAAATAAACACTTAAGACACCAAATCAAAAAAAGATTCAATAAAAATAGTCATGAAAAAGACACTGATTTGCACAAGTTAGTAGTCGACAAGAATTTCCCTTATAACACATTTCTACGCAGGCCTTCATTTATAATGCCCTAAATGACAGA